AGTTAAAAGGAACACTATTGTCTGAGTGAGCAGAAATAGTATCTCATTTCCCCTCAGTCAAACTTGTCCAAAGTCAGGCTTCACGTTTGTGTTTGTGTGTGCATACGGGTCGTTTTGAATGTGTGTGTGGCTGTGTGTGTATGTGTGTGTGTATGTGTGTGTGTGCACATGTGTGTATTAAAGCCATCACCCTAGGGAAAATTCTCAAAATTGGTACAAAATGTCATTTCGTCACTGCAGGCCATCATGCAGCAAACAAAACCAGACACACACATGGAGGCACACACAATAAAGTTAAATAAAAACACAGCTGGCTTGTTCAAACCCCAGACAATTGGTTTTGTTGCAGGATAAACATTTTTATTCAATGCCGGTACCAGCTGTGTTCAGGTCGTTTTCATAGTGTTTATATACTTTTCTGTTCACATTTGGTTTGTTACATTTGGAGCACCTCAGGGATGCAAACTCCTGCTTTCTGTTCAAGCAAACATTTCTGTGAAAAAGGCTCCAGATGACTTGGATGAGCCAGTTTGACTGTGTGTTGACACTGCAGTGAGCATCCATTTCAGACAGCTGAACACATGAGACAAGCTCAAAAGCGGTGGCCATGGATTGCCTGTTTGGAAGCGAGGGGAAAGATGCCTGCAGCTTTACTTTTGGCCGACAGTTTGGCAGGAACAAAACATATAAAATCTGCCTGATGCTGCATCATCACCACTAGCACTTCAAGTTCATAATAGTTAGGCTACATTACCACAATCAAGTTCTGCAAATTGGCTGGTAGTGATCTGAATGCCCAACGTGATCTGAGCTCCCTGCATGGAGTCAAAACTAAATATGTCTTCCTGAACTTCCTGGGGATTGGTGTAAAAAAATATGCAACAAAAACTGGGCTATGTTTGAGATGCTACAATTCTCACACAAAATGGTGAATATAGGTTCACTTGTGCAAGGACTTCTATGCATGGGAGCTGGATGAAAACAGAAACAAGATTTGATAGCAAAAGTTATTAATTCAATATTGAGTTATGGTCAGAAAGGTTGCTATATGGTTGAAGGAATACAGCAGTCACAGTTTATATGTTGAAAGAAATCATCTGAATGTGCATGTTGCCAACTCTGTTGCCAAAATGCCTATAACACTGGGGAAAAACCATTTTAGCAGTACAGGACACTTTTTTATTAAATAAAGCACTTATTCACTGTCATACATGCAACTACTGTCACAATGTCTGCCTCTTTGTCCCAATCATCAGCATTATTCTTTGCCTGTCCACCAGATGCCCCAAGACTATTCTCCTGTCATTCCTGATCCAGTCACTCCCTCAGGCCAGGCTGATTACCTAATTTCATTCACCTGGTGTTCCCTGCTCATCTCCCCACCTGCAGCTCATTCCTCATGGCTACAGTAGTTCCTTGCCAGATTGTTTTTGCAAGGCTCTGTGCTGGGTCCAGTCCTTGTTTCCATTTGTATGCTCCCTCTTGGCCACCTCATACGTTCATCTTTTTCCATTTTTACGCAGGCCATGCTCAGATCTATCTACACTCTAACCCTGCAAATCACTATCACAACAGTCAACCTTCTAAACTGCCCTCATAAGTGGATGTCACAATAGTTCCAGCTACTAAATGTTGATACGATGGAGATATTGATCACAGGGCAAGACTGTGCAAATACTCAAATATCACAGTCTTGGCCCCCTGTCCCATTCAATAACTCAGCTTTCATCATCTCAGAAACATTTAAAGGATAAGACCATTTCTCTGGTTGGATTACTGTGATTTTTTCCCTATGGCATCAGTAATTCTGACTAAGACTAAGAAAAAAGATTACATCACACAAATCCTGACATCTTTACACTGGCTACCTGCTGCTTTTAGAATTGAGAAAATAATATTCTTGAAAACCCTGAGAGGCCTAGCTCCAAGCTATTTTGCAGATCTTTTAGTGCCTTACGTCCCATCATTCCTGGTTATTCCTGGTCGTTTTAGGACCACAAAGGTGATAGACCTTTTGAAGTAAGGGCTCCTTGACTTTGGAAGGACCTGCCTGAGAAGATCAGGACTGCAAACTGTGTCTGGATGGATGCCTTGGATGGAATTATATGACTCATTTATAAAACTATCATGGGCAAAATCCCTCTATATCTCCATACTCTACTCAGCACTCCTAACAGTAACCACAATTTGTGTTCTAGCAAATTCATCTTTATACTCTAGACACCCCAAAAATCCGAACCTTCTTTGGCTGTCACCCCTTTCAATCTGCTGCTCCCAGTGACTGGAACCAGCTGCAAAGTTGCTAAAACTACACACCCTTATTCCATTATCCTTCTTCAGTAACTCAGTACATGCATTCGTTTCTGATTATTGCACCTGCTTGTAAATCTACTTCTCTGGAACACAGTACTTTGGTCCATGTTGTGTACATACTGTATATATTGTGCTGTTTTAACTTGTTTAACTGTATTGTTTTTCTATATGTATGTTTTATTTGTTGTATTGGCTTGCCTCTTGCTACTACCAGGTCATCATTGTAAATGAGAATTGGTTCTCAATTGACTTGGTTAAATAAGAAAAAACAAAACAAAAAAAACAACAACATAATGCATCTGCTCAAAGTTCTCTGTTACATTTAACATCTTGTCCTTTGTGTGTTTTCTATATTGTTATTGTTTAATTTAACAATGTAGCTGTTTTTCATCTGTGGGCAAAGATACACAGACCCATCAAGCCAAATTGCCTACATTTGGCTGTGAAGTTGCCATTATCCACATTGTCAATCTGTGTTTATGATGCTGATGCCCCATACACTTAATTCAGGACATTGTATCAACATTACATCTGTCTGGGTATAAACACATAAACACAGTAGCTTGTGTCTAAGAGCAATTCATTGTAGAAGCAGCATCAACTGATATTGGATTATGAGTAGCATACATTTGCATGTTAGTCAGGTTAATTGATTTACTGAAATTTTGCACAGGATTTATATTAAGGTTGCATGTGAAGACAAGTATGTTAACATATGAAATTGTGCTAATTAATACTTTATATCATAACGATTAGTACAGGATATTAAACATCTCAAGTGGCTCTTAAACTATTATCTATGTTTTAAACCCCTGGTGGCCAATGTAACAATAGATAAAGGAGGTTCATTCTTCTAGGTGTTTAAGTTCTACCAGACTTAACACCAACACCTGCTACTGAAATGTTTCTTCAGCTGTGTCTATGATACAATAATGAATGCATTCCCATGAGATTGATATGTATATTTTGTTTCCCCTGGCTCCATGAGGCAGTCTATGGAGATTGATTCAATGCCATTACTGTGTGAGATTCCCTATTAGAAATCTATCATAGATATAAAGCATTTTAAAAGAAAAGGTACAAACTGTGAGGAATAATGTGCTGTCAAAGACCTGCCATTATACACAGTGGTTTATAATAAAGCGCATTGCGGTTTTATTTATTGACTTGAGGATTGGGTGAAGTATATAGTGGTTGGACGATATTGTAAAACATAATGTCAATAGTGATAAAAAAAGGACTGTAGGTTTATAGTTTACAGTTATATATTGTAGACAATATTTCTTATTTATAATGAACAAGAACAAATGTGGAGCACAACACAATGGCCAGCCTGAATTATTTGGCAGAGTGGGAACACACACACACACACACACACACACACACATACGCACACACACGCACACACACAAACATTTAACACATTACCAAAACATTCAACTATTAAAGTTGAGCCCTGAACACCCACAGGGAGCAGTGTCTGCTGGGAGAGGGATGGATCTAAGTATATCACACAGATTTAAACATTAATATCAAAAGCGCAGTTGCGAGTCTAAGTATACAATACACACACACACACAGACTTACACAAACATATGCACACAAAGAAACAAGTCACAGTCAAAGTCACAGCCTTTGAAACATTTTTGTTAAAGCTTTTTCTTCCTCTCTCCTACTTTACTTTGATGTGACATTCTCCCCTGACAATTATGCTTGCAGAGTAAGCAGATGTCGTGACAAATTCAAAGCCTGTGGTTGTGTAGGATTGTGCACATATCACGTCACTTGCGTACTTTGCAATGATTTCATGTTTTTCATAATTTTCTCTGATAGCAGTTAACAAATAAAGATCATTTATAACCTAAGTTTAAAACATCTTACTAAATACCGTCAATAAAGACAAGCATGTGTACTGTTGCTACAGCAACTGCTAATGTCTTTAATGCTCATGTTATTATTAATACACGGTTAAAAAGAGAAAAGGTGAGTCCACATTGGAAGGCATACTTTAATACAATTTTAAATTTGGCAATTTAACATAATTTTCTATTCATTACAGCTGTTACCATTCACAAACTACAGGTAGTGCCTGAAGTGGATACCTTGGATATCTTCATCATAGTTAGCATTGACACCATCTCACTCTCTCTCGCACACACAC